TTTCTTTCGTTTAGATTTGATTTTTTTTGATGTTTGTTCTGGGACAGTCTGGCGATGTGTTAGGCTGTCCTCAAAACTCCAGCTTTACCCAGCGTACAGGCTGGCACAGCCATGGCCACCCAAGATGATTTTATTTTACTTTATGTGTGAATGCATTGCCTGAATGGAAGTAATTGCACCCCCGTCTTGTCGAGGTCAGAGGAGCGCATCTGATCCACTGGAACTGGAGTTATGGGTGGTTGTTAACCACCACGTGGGTGCTGGGATTTGAACCCAGGTCTTCAAGAACAGCTAGTGCTCTTAACCGCTGAGCCATGTCTCCAAAGCCCGCCCCCCAAGATGATTATTTTTTTAAAGGGAGCTGTCTTTATGATGAATCAGGAAAGCGGCCACAGGGCCCACCCAGGTGTTGAGGTGTCACCGAGAGGCCAGGTCTCCCTTGACTTTCCTTTCTAAGTCCATTTTTCCTTTGCATGAAATAATTGTAGATTGCTCAGTTCTTCTTAATTCGCTCTTCCCCACTAAATGATTAAAGAATTCCGTTAGTTTCTGACACACAGAAATCCTAATTTGTATCGCTGGTGCAGCTTTTACTCCAGAAGGGGTAAATGTGCCCTTAAATTGACTGACTCATTTCATTTTAAAAGGAAAACCAGGGGCCACAGCTGTAGCTCAGTGGTAAAGTGCCTAGGCACCCACAGGGCTCTAGGTTCCACCCCTAGGACCCCAGGGGGAAGGAAAAGCTAAAAATCCATACATTTTTATTTTGGATATTTGACTGTTGTTGTAATTGATGATTGTTGAGGTTTATGTTTGTTCCACTAAACTAACCGCATTGCCATGTTCTAGGAATGTTAGCGTACAGGAGCTAAACATTTCACATGAAAGTAACTATAACATCAAAGCCACTGTAAAACCTTAGAGTCTTTAATTTTTTTGTTTGTTGTTTTTGTTTTGTTTTGTTTTTTTAACAGGGTCTCCCTAGTCCCAGACAATCTGGAAGTCACTGTGTGGACCAGGCTAGCCTCACAGAGATCCATCCCCTTGCTTCTGACTCCCAAGGGCTGGGGATTAAAGGCTTGAGCCATCACACCCATTGTAGAGAGTGTTTAAAATGGGTTTTCCTTTGACATAAAATCATGTCTTTCTCTTTGTTCACCAGTATGAAAATTGCAGAAGTAGATTTAAATAAATATGTTATGATTTTCTATAGAGAGGGAAAAAAAAATCACATGCAATGTTTTCTTACTAATAACTGTACTGAATAATAGTTAACCCTAAGGTAGAGGAAACAGGAACATTTAAAAAGCTTTTCAGTAGTATTTGTAAAATAACATTAGGTCTTTGTATAAATTATAATATATATAATATGTACTATCATATTAAATTACCATAGTAAGTTACATTTTTATGAAAATGGAAAATCAATCAGATTTTAATTCAAAGCATTTTTTCTTAGAAAGTTTCATTCTAAATGTAAATACTCCTATGACTTTTCTCACAAATTCACAGTATATACTTAAAAAATGTATAAAAATAAATGTATGACAATGATACAGAAAATAAACTAATTTGAAAGCCCAGTAGCACAACTGGAGCTACTGACATCACAGGTTAATTGACACAGAGTTATTTCAATAAAGAAGGCTCACTGCATATTCCTTTTAGAAAGTCTCAGTCATTAAGTAGTCCTTAAATCTTCTCATGAAACTACTACCACACGCCTGATCTTTGCTCCTCATTTCCAGTTTTTTCAAAAAACATGAAATCCTGGAGAGAAAAAAAAAATAACAGAAAATAGTTTTCAGCAACAGAGATCAATTCTCAGAGAAAGCAAAGAGAACTCATCACAAACAGTGACACATCGTTAAAAAAATCAAGGACGCACTTAACCCCAGCAGAGGCAGGTGGAGCTTTGCCTTTAAGGCCAGCATGGTTTACACAGTGAGTTCTGGGCCAGCTGGAGCTACAAAGAGACCCAGTCTCACAAAGACCAAAAAGAAGTCAAGGATAAGAACACTGGGAAACCCTGCCTATGTATGCTCCACCTTCGCTCTTTTCTGATAATTCCATTTTCCTTTCCTTCTGTATCAATTTGATTAATACACCCATTAGTTCTCTAAACGTCACTTGTCCCTATTCTCCTTGCCATCTTTCAGTCTTCTTCAACCTCTAGTAGTCACTTTCTAGTGATTTATCTCCACTGACGGGAGTTCCAGGTTCAGCTTTAGATTTGGGGAACGCTGGCTACCTTCTAAGAGTCAGAACGCTCTGTGGTTGGAACCCTTTGGTCCGGGCCCATCATTTCTCTTCTGCGTCTCTTTACTGTTTTCCCAGCTTGTTCTACTCTATGAAGGTCTAACTGCACGTTTCCTCTCTGACTTCCATCAAATTCTGTGGACATTATTTCTTTCGCATATCTATTTTCCTTTTCCGTTCACTACTGTCGCTAATCATTTGCATTACACAACTGCAGTTACTTCCCTTCAATCGGTTCCCACATGGTCACCAGGATTTAGCTTTATAAAATTTGGATTCACCAGGATTTACCTTTCTAAAATCAGATTCTAACAAATCTAGTTTTAAAGGAACAAGTTAATTGAAGTCTCAATGTGTCAAAAAACTGCCACATCTTTTCCCAAAGCATCAATTTCCATGTTTTAGAATAACTCCAAGACAAGTAATGTGTACAGCACTTCAAGCCCTCTCATCTTTGAAAGTGCAGAGTCTCCTCAGAAGCACGTACACTAGTGACTGCACTCAGAGTGCCAGGGCTGAAGGAAATCTCAGACTAAGCTTAACTTTGAGTCCTGGCATAAAATACTGTTCGTTTAAGAAGGCCATTATGAATCCAGAATTTGATGAATCGTTTCAGAATGATACTAAAAACCCACACAGGACCAAAATTAGCAAGTACGGACTCACAATGAGGAAGCAAGCACCGAGCATCACGGCTTTCATTTTCACATCGAGGTCTAGTGGAAACTGGATCCCAAAGTTATCTGCATCTGTGAATGCCTCTCTCACAAAACCAGACCATTGCTTCGAAATTTTGCCAACTAGAGATTCTTCATCTAGAGATTTTATCTACATAGCAAAAATAAAATCATAAAAATTTATATAAAATATGTGGCAAATATACTTTCAAAGTTATAGTTCAATGAAATAAATATTATTTTACAATCATATGCGTGGATAAGCATCAATATATTCAGTTAGGTCCCTGTATCTATTAATCAGTACATGAAAAACCATATT